GTTTAGTCCAATGCGTGGATCTTGATCCAACGTTGGAGGCTGTAAATATCCTCTCACATGAGAGGGTCGAGTATTAATTTATTCTACACACTTTCATTACTTGCATTTACTCTAAACCTTACTTTGGAATCAGAGTATCTTGCAGGTACCCTTCTCCCACTTCACTTCAACAGCCATTCAGTTCCAGCCTATGGGCCATCGACGATCCCTTCTGATCCGGTACGATCAGTGGCATCGTCTGTGGGAAACTTGCTTCCATATCTTTTAATAACTGAATATCAAAACAAACTTTTAACCTTCCGATCGTCATGGCTGCTCAAGTTAAAAACGATGATCTCAACGTTCACTTTATCGAGTTTGGCAACAACAACAAGAACAACGACGTTGCCGACCACGAGCTCTGCCGTCATTGTACCAAAGAGGCAGAACACCCAGCTCGCGATGGGACTGTTCACGCTGCGAGAATAAGGTCCCGAACAGGACCTTGACCTCATCCTAACAGAATCTAAATCCGTATTCCCGACACGTCTTCATACGTTGTCATCCATAAATAAACAGGTCGAGCACGAATTCTCACACTTATATAAAATGAACATGATAAGCAAAATGTCAAACAATATTACGGATAAACATGCAAGGTTAAAGCATTACAAAAATAAAAAAAGGCCAACCACAAAGGTCGAAGTTATCCATATGTTACATAAAGAGGGACACACATGCCCAAACTAAAGGTAGATATACAAAAACTGGGCAAAGCCCGCTGTCCAAATATTAAAGAAAAATTTGGCACGCGGGCTAGATAAATGCACGAGCACGTAAGCCTAAAACTAAACTAATCTTCGCACCCATCCTTTTCACTGTCCGACTCCTCCTCGGGGTTATCGTTGGGAGGACGAATTATAACCCCATCTTGGTAAAAAGGCTCGGTCCCTTTGGTTACAAGCTTGACCCTGGCGTTGACAATTTTAAGTTTCTTCACAACAGTATTGAAGCCATACCCAATGGGATCCACCACGTCCTGCTCGAGCTGGTGAATCTAAGAAATCAGCTCTTTCCTAGTCTAAAGGTCTCTTCCTCGACGGTTTCCTCGTCAGCAGGCGCCGCGACCCCCTCCAACTCGCTTACTTGGGAATTCAGTCTTTCATTCTCCTTGGTCACGGCGTCCATCTTCTGATTTAGCTCGTTCAACTCCGTGAGGAGCCCGACTTAGACCTCGTATTTCGATTGATGGTCAAGAATATCATTCCTCAGTTTTTCATTATGCACCTCCAGCTTGTCAATCTGGGCATTCACTTTGTCAAAGGCGGACTGGGAGGATGTTGGCGCGTCATTAAGGGTCAATGCAGTCTCAAGAACCCTCATTACAGTAGCCACGCCCTCAGACAGATTCTTTCGCTGGGTCTCCTTGTCTGCGGACATAATGGCTTCCCTCTCCTCCTCGTGAATACCTAGGGAGTTATCCCCCCAAAAATTCCGCGGTTGAGGTAACAGGAAGGAAGCACGAAGGAATCTCCAACATTTTTTCTTTTATCTGAAAAGACTCCACACTCAGGACCTTCCTCGCGACTCCTCTTTGTAGGCTGCTCAGGGGGAGAAAGTTGATCACCTCAAGAATAAGAGGAACCGCCGACACAGGCGTTAAGTTTGGCCTATTCCTATATCTGAGCAGCACGCCCTTTGGGAAACTTTAGGCCACCCTTGTCTCTCTGCTTGAGCAGACATTCCTCGAAAGTCTCCATTCGACTTGCAATCCAAAAAGGGGACAATTAGTCTACGAAACAAAATTGATAAAATATTTATTATGGGCACACCCCTTACCTATGAGTCTCAAAGACTCTTCGTCAGAAGAACCTTCGAAGAGTACTTTCGTATTTATCAGTCGGGCAACATAGAAATACTCCCCCCTCATCATCAAGAATGAAGTTTTTGTCTGAATCCACACATTTGGCAGGGGAGAAACTCTTAAGATAGGATGTTAGTTTATCGTAAGCAAGCTTATTGGCATCTAACTCTTCAGGATTTACTGCATAATATTTTGGCCTCTGCTCGAAATGCTTCCACTGCCACTTGAGGGGAAATTTCACCTTTAGCTTTGTTACTTCCCGACCATCCTCAATCTCGACTGAGCGCTCGTACAAGGAGCCCATGGCCATTTCGGAAATAGGCTTTACGACATAGAACCTTTGCTTGAAATGCTGGATAGATTCCAAGTATGGTCGAAACATATTTCCGAATTGCTTGAATGACACCCAGGCCTGGCGGCCATTGACCATTTTCCGCTGGAGGTGGAAGATTCGGAAGAACAAGGTTAAGGTAGCACCAATCTCAAGGTATTGCTAAACAATATCATATGCCCGCATAAACGCAAGCGTATTTGGGTGGAGCTAAGAAGGCGCCAAGTCTAGCCATTTAAAAACCCCCACCTGGAAATCCATAAAAGGCGGGCGCATCCCCGCTTCCTTGAAGGAAAACTCATACATTGGAAAGCGCTTGCCCGGGAAATATGAGCATATCCTCCTGTATTTTTTCGGAATGAGAATCGACCAGAAGGCAGGAGCATCATCTTCCCTCTCTTCGACAACGTTGAACGCATCAGAAGAATCATGAATGAATTGAGACATCAGATTCTTGGGTTCGGGCGCGACCCAATCTAGGGGGTTACCCATGCCTACATTTTCCTCGCCATCAGACTCGGGCAAACAACTTCTTTGATTGGTTGAGGCATCTTACCTGAAAAGTAGGGGAAAATAGTGAATTCGACATCATCAAATCCACCCTTCCACCGCAGGTCAAGTGAGAGGGCGAGGAGCTCCTTGAGGGTAGGTCCTCGACTCAACCTGATGGCTACGCGAGGGGAAACGACTTCCATCGGCTAAGCAAAATCACGAACGTTCTCCCCAACAGAGTGACTTGCTTAGATTTTTCCAAATCACGAGGAGGAACCCCCGATACGAACCCGTATGAAGCTTATTCGAAATTCATGGATCTCCATCCAGAATTCATGAATCTTCATACGACATGCATGAAGTTCATCCGAAGTTCATGGATCCTCACCCAAAATTCATGAATCTTCATACGAAATTCATGAACTTCATCGGAAAACCCACAGATCTTCATTCGAAATTCACGAACCTCACCAGAAACTTCATCCGTTCATATAAAGCCCTAAAGTAAATTAACATATTCAAAGGAAATGGCTTACTTGGCGGCGGCGGCAGTAGAGCAGCTTGCGAACGAAGGAGAAGCGAGAGGAGAACAAAAGTGAAAATGCTTAAGTGAATTTCTTCACCTCATTTTATGGCTAATCCCCACCAAACGGGGTAGCGTGTAAGGAATCATCATTGCTTAGACCCATAGGCTTTCCCAGGAAATGCTGGAGCTCCACATAGCCACCATGTGTGACACGCGTAGTTATACGCCACTGGCACAAAAATCTCACGCGTGAAACCACGCGCTGACGCTATTTCAAATTCTTTATTGTCGAACACATACTCGACATCGTGGCGACACCTTTTCCTACGGGCACCTCGAGGAGACAAGTTTGGGGAAAATTTTCGCGCTTTCCCCCCGAACGTGAAATCCCAAGCGAGCAACCACGTGAAGGCGGACAATCAACGAATCGACCGAGGAGGGTCCTCTTGCACACGTGCCCGCACCACACACGAAGAATTGATGAGGAGCCTGATAATCCACCGACCATATCATCCTCGATCGAGATACGACTTTACGCTGGTTTAACCCCGAGTGTCGAGGACATAAGTTAATTCCCTTTTGGGGAAACCTTTCCTCGACATTTAAGCTGATCATAAGTCATCACTATTTAGCCCAAAGAGCAATAACTTGGGGGCTCTTATTTGGGCTGGGCTGGCGTTTGACCCATCGTCGGGCAGTCCCAATCCAGTACACCTGTTATGACCCAATAACATTAGCCCAAGTCACTAACAATTGAGGATGACCCCACGTGCCCACGAGGAAAATATGGCCAACGACTATCCTAACTTCCCAACTTCCCTATTATCTCAGGGCAGTTGACCAGGGAGTAGGCCATGTGTTGGACTCCACTACTCACCTAACCCTGACAATATACGTTATTGGGCCGAATTGCTATGCCCAATGCGTGAATCTTGGTCCAACGTTGGAGGTTATAAATACTCTTTCACATGAGAGGTCAGATACTCATTCATTCTACACACTTTCATTACTTGCGTTTACTCTAAACCTTACTTTGGCATCAGAGTGGCTTGTAGGTACCCCCACTTCACTTCAACAGTCATTCAGTTCTAACCAGTGGGCCATCGACGATCCCTTCTGATCAGATACGATCATTAATAAAAATAATGAAAATCTCGACTTAAAAATCAAATTTTGAGTTTTTTTTTTTTAATTTTTTTTCCTAACATTCTAAACATGTTTACATAATCATTCAAAATACATATCAATTTAATAACAGAGACTAAAACTATATATATAATGATTTTCTAGGAAGTAAACCTATCATATATTTTTATAGGGATAAAAAAAATAAAATTTAATAATTTATAAAAAATAAAACATATGTAACCTAATTTTAATTATAAAAATACATTTAAAAATCTCTATTCCTAAATATAAGGTCTCACCGTGTAAGTTATGCAACAGAAGAGAATTGATGACATTTATAAATTGTTGACCGAGTTATACAATATCTAAAAGTTATTCTTAAAAGATGCCTTTTGTTCAAAAGAGGTTGGAATTGGATGCAACTAGAATCGCTCATATTTCTACGTGCCAAACAAAACTGAGGTCGGCATCATGAATTTGTTGTTATCTTATTTTTATTCTCTTTCAACACTAATAAATATCATAATTATTATATTACTATTACTATATACTCAGATTTCTTTAGTAGAGTCCATTTTTCAGTTCTTCGGGTTTTAGTTCCACAGTTTGCTTTAAATACTCCCAAACAAGTTCATTAAAATTTCACAATCGGTTCAGTGTGGGAACACAATTCGTGGAGGATGGATAACATTCTTGGTCTTCTCAAACTTCGTATCAAAAGTGGAATTAATATTGCAATTCGTGATGCTAATTCGAGCGACCCTTATGTTGTTGTGAACATGGGTGAACAGGTTTCAAACCTTAATATTTTTCTTCTTTGATGGTGTTTTTAATTGCTTGATTTGGATCAGAAGTGTTCATCTTCAAAATTATTGTTTTGTATTGATGCAGAAGCTGAGGACTCGTGTAGTGAAAAACAATTGCAACCCTGAGTGGAACGAAGAACTAACCCTTTCAATAAGTGATGTCCAAACTCCAATACATCTGGTAAGCAAAGAATTAGTTGTTGAAATTGATTTCTCTAGAATGAGAGATTCACTTTAAGGAGAATAAGCTCAAGAGTTATTGCTATTTTGTTTCTCTCTACAGACAGTTTTTGATAAAGACACATTCTCTCTCGATGACAAAGTGGGTGATGCAGAGATAGACTTGAAGCCATATGCTCAAGCTGTACAAATGAAGTTGGATACTCTTCCTGATGGTTGTGTAATCAAGAGGGTTCAAGCGGATAGGACTAATTGCCTTGCTGAAGAGAGTAGTTGTATTTTGAAAGATGGGAAAATAATCCAAGAAATGATTCTAAGATTGAGAAATGTAGAGAGTGGGGAATTGGTTGTGGAAATTGAATGGGTGGATATTCCAGGCTGTAGTGGTTTAATAGGGGTACAACTTTAACTTGTTCTCCTTTCAATATAAATCAACAAAGTCTTATTGTACTACTTGAGTTTGAAAACAAATAAATGTACTTGGAAAATTCCATTTTGTCATTTGCTTAAAAAATTACATCTACTGATTTAAGGGATAAATTGAGTCTAAATATTATTTTTTGTAACTAAATTCTGCATTTGTTCTATTTGAACTACTACTTCAAATTGTTTCTTCTCCTTTATTACCCACCTTTTGAATAGTTTCTTTGATATGCAGATCTTATGCTGATAAACTTGCTAACACTTCCAACCTTTTCATTATGTTGTCATTGTCAATTATTTTGAATATTAGTCTTGATGGGAAATTCAACAACAATTAACAGTAACAATTCTAATAGAGCAATATTCAGCGGATATAATTTCTCCAACTTGTTGAATCTGTGAGGAGCAACAACAAATAATGCAGCAATTAAAAATCAATACCACAAAGAGACACCAAGATTTTTAACGTGGAAAAAACCTTCTCAAAGTGAGAAGTAAAACAACCACGGACACAAGCCAGTAAACAAGCTCCACTATGATCAATGTATGGGTACAAGAGAGTCTCAAATGTAGCACAAATCGTGCTCAACAATCAGCCAAAACAACAAGGCAACAAAACATGAAATAGAGAACAAAGAAGAACCAAAAAACTCCAAAGGGCTGCTACTGTGCGTGGCCAATATCTTCCACCTCAGACTTCTGATTGCCGATCACACCGTTCAGATTGAAGAACCGGATGTCAGGAACCTGCAGTTCAAATTTCGGCCAAATCGGACGGTGAACGAAGGAGATATCGCGATTCTAGTGCAGCTGCTATGTGTATGTGCGAAAATCTGTTTCTATTCTCTTCTCTCACTTTTCTCTTGCCTCTCTTGCCTAAATCAGACCTCTCACTGTTATCCTAATTAACCCCTCTCCACTTAGATAAGTGAGACACATGGGCTTGCACATATTGAGACTTTCTCCACATAGGATGGGAGCCCAAAACCCAACATATCTCCCCCTCACAACTATGTGGAGGTGACCGCCAAACCGACGATCTCACAACAAGTTTCAAACTTGCTTCTCGGTAATGCCTTGGTCATCATATCAGCACCATTATCATCTGTATGCACCTTGGCCAATTCCAACAACCCAGCATCCAAAGTATCACGTATCCAATGATACCTAACATCAATGTGCTTGGACCTAGAATGAAAAGTTGAATTCTTACCAAGATGAATTGCACCTTGACTATCACAAAATAGAAAGTATTTGTCCTGCACAAAACTAAGCTCCTGCAAGAATTTCTTCAACCAAATCAACTCCTTGCATGCTTCTGTAATGGCAATAAACTCTGCCTCAGTAGTGGACAATGCAACACATCACTGCAATCTGGATTGCCATGCCATAACTCCCCCTGCAAACTTAATCAAGTAGCCTGAAGTAGACTTTCTGGAATCAATGTCTCCAGCCATATCAGAATCAGTATAGCCCACAAGAGTAGGTATATCACCTCCAAAACAAAGCCTCAAACTGGTAGTACCATGAAGATACCTCAAAATCCATTTCACAGCATTCCAATGCTCTCTACCTGGATTAGACAGAAATCTACTGACTGTACCAACAACATGTGCAATATCAGGTCTTGTACACACTATTGCATACATCAAACTCCCCACAGCAGATGCATAAGGAACCCGTTGCATATCTAATTTTTCAGCTTCATTGGAAGGACTCTGATTAACACTCAATTTGAAATGAGCAGCAAGAGGAGTACTTACAGCCTTAGCATTTTTCATCTGGAACCTCTGAAGCACCCTTTTAACATAGTGTTCCTGTGACAGCCAAAGTTTCTTCTTGTTCCTGTCACGCATGATTCTTATACCAAGAATCTGATTAGCGGCTCCCATGTCTTTCATGGCAAATGACTCGCCCAATTGCTTTTTCAACCTGTCAATCATGGAAATATTTTTCCCAACAATAAGCATGTCATCAACATACAATAACAGGATAATGAAATTATCATCAGCAAACTTTTTAACAAAGACACAGTGACCAGAAGTAGTCTTCTTGTAGCCTTGCTCACACATAACAGACTCAAACTTCTTGTACCACTGACGCGGGGCTTGCTTCAAGCCATATAGGCTCTTTCTCAATCTGCACGCATAGTCTTCCTTGCCTTTAACAAGAAAACCATCAGGTTGCTTCATGTAAATCTCTTCCTCCAAATCACCATGAAGGAAAGCAGTTTTTACATCCATTTGCTCTACCTCTAGATCAAGAGTAGCAGTCAAACTCAACACGGTTCTTATGGATGACATCTACACCACAGGAGAAAAAATCTCATTGAAATCAACACCCTTTCTTTGTCTGAAACCTTTCACCACCAATCTGGCTTTATATCTTGGAGATGTAGAATTGCTTTCTTGCTTTACCCTGTAAATTCACCTATTTTCCAAAGCCTTCTTGCCCTTAGGCAATTTCAGCAAATCAAAAGTGTGATTATCATGCAAAGACTTCATTTCATCTTGCATAGCATCCAACCACTTCTTCTTTTCATCACTCTCCATGGCCTCATTAAAACACTCAGGTTCTCATTCACCTGTCAAGGTAACATAGTCATCAGAAGGATACCTGGTAGATGGTTTCCTCTGCCTATTAGACCTCCAAAGTTGAACTTGAGGTGGTTCAGGAGCATCACCAAGATCTTCATCTTGTGACATCTCATGTTCCTCTTCAGCATCATCAACAGGAATATCTACATCATCTCCAAGCTGCTGGTCACCAACATCATCATGTTGCTCATCATTCTGAACATTATTTTCAGCAGTATCCAGATCATGTACAGGCATCCGAACTGGATCAACATCAGACAAACTATTATCAATCTCTGGTGTAGTCTTCTTCATCTTATCAATGTCTTCAATGGTTTGGTCTTCCATGAACTTCATATCATGGCTTCTAACAACTTTCTTCCTAACTGGATCATATAGCTTGTAGCCAAATTCATCCTGACCATACCCGATAAAAATACACTGCCTTGTCTTTGCATCCAACTTGGATCTCTCATCCTTTAGAACATGAACATATGTTTTGCAACCGAAGACACGCAAATGATCATATTTGGCATTCTTGCCAAACCAAATTTTGTCTGGCACCTCTGCATTCAAAGCAACCGCAGGACTCAGATTAATAACATGCACTGCCGTGTACAATGCTTCACCCCATTTTAGGCAACTTTGCTTCAGAAAGCATACACCTAACTCTTTCAATCAAAGTCCTATTCATACTCTCCGCTAAACCATTCAGCTGAGGAGTTTTAGGAGGAGTCTTTTCATATCTGATACCGTGCTGCTTGCAATAAACATCAAATGGCCCACAATACTCACCACCATTCAGCTGAGGAGTTTTAGGAGAAGTCTTTTCATGTAAATTTTTGACAAGTGGTCGGGCATTTGTAACTATGTTATGTTTGGGAGAAATATTTTTATTAATGCCACATCTGTACCTGTTGTCACATAGACTGAAGTTTCATATTTTTTTATTTATTTGTATGAACAATTATAATAGATGTATCTTAATCGAGTACTCTCTCATTAATAGAGATATATCATATTTTTCGTATTTATTTATTTATTTATTTATTTATTTATTTGTGTGTTATTGAGGCAAGTCAAAAAGGCTAATGTGAATCTTGAAAAAATTGCAGAGAAAATCGCGTGTGTCAGAAAGCATCAAAAGTGAATATAGCAGGAAAAAGTCCAATAAAAAAAACAAGAAAAATAGAGAATAATGTAGAGAAGTAAATTTCATATTTTGTTTTGTTTCAATTTAATGTTATTGATTTTTATACATATTTGTTCTATCAAGATGAATTTTGCTTTTAATACATATTTATTGATATTAAATTTGCATTCATATTTTATCGTTAGTTTTAAATTTTAATACATGTTTTTTGGAAGTATTTGTAATGTTGTTATAGATTTAAATACATATGATCGGCCACATATTGGATAACTACTGAACAATTATGTGAAAAAGCTAGCTAAGTAATCAATTTAAATTTAACTGTAAATACTTTTAATAGTGGTCAAAATAAATTTTACAAAATTCATAAAAAAATTAGACAGAGAGATTATTATAAATAAAAAGAGTACATAAATCTCTCTGGATAGTTTTATATTTGTTCTAATAAATAAATAAATAAAGAAGATGCTGTTGAACAAAGAACATGCATTGATTTTTGTTAGGGTTAATATCTATTTTCACCCCTGACATATGGGGTGTATTTGAAAAAAACCCCTGTCAAAAAAAAAGTTTCAATTGTTACAATATGTTTGCAATAAACGCTACTTACCACTAGACCAATGCATTTTCTTTGTTACATATATGCATCAATAAATATTCATATCATTAACATATTAATTACAATTATCAATAAATTTTCTTAACTAATTGATTTAAATAATTTTTAAAAAAATGTTTTATACATATTTTATCTTTTTACTCTAACTTTTTTTAAATTTTAAATTTTCAAAAATCACTTAAATTTAAAAAAATCACTTAAATTTTCAAAAAACACTTAAATTTAAAAAAATCACTTAAATTTTCAAAAATCACTTAAATTTTCAAAAGTCACTTAAATTTTCAAAAATCACTTAAATTTTCAAAAATCACTTAAATTTTCAAAAATCACTTAAATTTACAAAAATCACTTAAATTTAAAAAAATCACTTAAATTTAAAAAAATCACTTAAATTTTCAAAAATCACTTAAATTTTCAAAAATCACTTAAATTTTCAAAAGTCACTTAAATTTTCAAAAATCACTTAAATTTTCAAAAATCACTTAAATTTTCAAAAATCACTTAAATTTTCAAAAGTCACTTAAATTTTCAAAAATCACTTAAATTTTCAAAAATCACTTAAATTTAAAAAAATCACTTAAATTTAAAAAAATAAATTAAATTTAAGTGATTTTAAATTTAAGTGATTTAAATTTAAG